CACATGTACAGGATCAATTTATCAATTTATTCAAGTTGTTCTAGCCTTACATGCAGAGGTTTCAATTGTTTGGCCATTATTACTCATTTAGATGTTACTTGTTATTTGTCTACGGAAGAAAAAGCATTGAACAGGTTTAGAAACATACAGAATGAGTTAGCATTACAGGTAAAAACAGTGCTGGTTTTATGGACTGTTTGATGGATAAATTTAATATGTTTATTGTATTGATTGAGAAAATACAAATAATATGCTCCATTGAGGTTAGGGTGGAAACCACTTAAATAAGGGACGTATAGGTCAGACAGTTAGGATAGCAAAAGATCTGCGCCCCATACAGTTTTGGGTACTCGGGCTACAGGGCCGTTTGAGTGGGATGGATGATTTATATTACGGGGTCCATTAGCAGCCCAGCATACGAGTATTCATGCCAGGTTTCTTCTATGCACTTAGGTTTCGCTGTAACTTATGGAGGCATACGTATTGAAATTGTGTTATGTATAAATATTACGGATGTTTTAATAAAAATGTGCATGAATTCATGTACAGCATAATGAACAGTAGGTAAGATCATGAAAGTATATTGATAGTGTAATAAAGAGATTACATGTTATTTATTGATTTCTTTATTAAGTTGGAGATATGCCGACTGAGGGCTTTATTTGGCTCAGCGAGTTTACTTGTTAACTTGGCAGGTTCTAGGTCTGGACCGTAGAGAATCATCTTTACACTGTTCAGATTCATCGTTTGAAAGACCAGTCTTCAGGGTAGCTACTCAGTTTTGATATTTCTTCTGTCTATAATTTATGCATTGGCATGGTACAGGGCACTAGTTGGGCCCATTTCATTTGGTAACGTAGTAGGTCATGTCTTTGGCAAATAGTAAGTACATAGCTGTATGCTAAGCTAATTGTCCGAAGACAACTTAGCGATGACAGTCATTGTTAGCCTACAGGATGCATAATCGTCTGGACCGTAGAGAATCATCTTTACAACTGTTGCAGTTCATCGTTTGAAGACCCAGTCTTCAGGGTAGCTACTCATTTTGATATTTTGGTTCTGTCTATAATTATCATGGCATGTACAGGGCACATAGTTGGGCCCATTTCATTTTGGTAACTAGTATCATGTCTTGCAAATAGTAAGTACATAGCTGTATCTAACTAATGTCGAAAGCAATAGCATGACATCATATTTAGCCTACAGGATGATATCAGCATGACAGAACATAGGTTCAACCAGCTTGTAGTGTCTCGGTTCGGTTCATTCGGGTTTACGGGTGAACCAGGAAGGGATGTTACAAGAAGTTATCATGAATATATTATATAATGATTACTCTTTGAGGACCTATGGTCATGTATTCTTATTAGACTTGATTAAGATGCCTTTCAGAGACACCGATGACATATTGGATATAAATTGGTTAGAGAGGTAAAAGGCAATGGTCGATTGTGATCTAAAGAAGATTGCTTTTAAGTTACAAGAATATGTAGTGGTGATACCGGACAAGAGATTGTTATTTCTTTCTCCTATCATCATAGTGGCTTAGGCTCAAAAGTTGATTTGTTATGAATATGAGAGATTCCTAACCCATATAGTTGACATTTGAGTAGAAAATCCTAATATCAAGGATAATTCTATTGTATAAAGTTTTCCATTTGATTTTTTTTTTTTTTCAAATGAGCTATCAAGCTTGCCTCTAGAGAAGCAAGTATCATTGACAAATGAGATAATGGCAAAAAAAATTGAATTTATTTCTATTATCCCTCATAGAATAACTCTAAGTGAATAGAAAGAAATAAAAAGTATAGTTATAAGAAATATTTAATATGGGATTTATTTGCCTCGGTGTGTTACACTAGGGATCCACAATGCTCTCTGTAAAAAGGACAGATGATAGTCTTTGATTATATATAACTTATCGCAATTGAATAAGGTCACAATCAAGAATTAATATCATTTGTTAATGATTGATGATGTATTTGATCAGTTAAAGGGAACCAGTATGTCAAGTGAGAATTAAGGAGCAAAATGTTCCAAAGATAACATTTAGGATCCATTACGATCATTATGAATTCTTGGTTATGCGATTTGGGTTAACTAATGCTCTAGCTGAATTTATGGATTTGATAATTACAATCTTTAGACCTCATTTAGACCAGTTTATTGTTATTTTCATTTATGACATTTGGTATATTCGAGAAATATCGAAGAGGATGATAGGCCCATAAGAATTGTTCTTAGACTCTTTTAGAAAAGTAGTTGCATGCTAAGTTTTCTAAATATGAATCTTAGTTAACACAAATTAATTTTCTTGATCATAATGTAATTTTCAAAGACATTTCAGTGGATGCCAGTAATGTAGAGGTCATCTCTAACTTTAAGTCACTAAAGAATGTTAGATTTGAATGGTCAAATGAATATCAAGAGAGGGAGAGAGTTTGGATGGACCGAAGAAGTGTTTGATTGAGGCTCTAGTCTCAATTTTACCTATTTTAGGTAAAGAATTTATAGGGTATAATGATGCTTCTTATAATGCATTAGGTTGTGTGTTGGTGTAGGATAGAAATACCATTACTTATGCATCACACCAACTTAAATTCCATAAGAGAGATTATTCTATCACATTTATATTCAAATTTCATATATTTGTCATGTAACATCACTTACATGAAAAATTAAATCCAAAAGTCATACAATCAATAAACTCATAATCAATTTACTTACCATGCATCTTTTAACTTAATCAATAATTATTAACTCAAAAGGAATGGCTTATTTTTCACTCGTTGTTCCTATATTGTAGGAGATACCATATTGTCATCCCTAGAATTTAATTCGTCTTATAAAAATTCCTAAACAAATATTGATGTAACAAAAAAAAGTACATTTGCCCGTTAAATTGAAATTTCGATAATCGGAATTCCATGTGGACGACATATGGTATTCTTAAATAATTTTATTAAATTTTTATGTCTCATCATTTTTAGTCAGTTTTTTCTCTCTCTCCCTTTTTGATTTCTCTCTCTTGCTCATTATCCCTCTCAAATACAAATATGCTCAATTTGAAGACATGGCCAATCTCAAACAAAATTATCTCTTTATCCATTTACTTTTTCTTCCATTGAAAGAAAATTTTGTAATTGTATTTCTTGCATTTTCATTTGCAGGAACTAAATATTTAATTAAAAAAATCACAAACCCCAAAATCAATGATCCAATAGTAATAGAGGTAGATCTACTAAATTCTTCTTGGAAGTATTCCCAAATCAGTTGTAATGGACAAGACTCATTCTCTTCTTAGATCTATCACATCCTTCTCAATAATAACATAGAGGCTTACTGGACATTCATGGAACATTTATCGAGTTGATTACCACGACTTCAGATCAAATCTTATTTTGGAAGATATAGGACTAGAAAGAAAATCAAATTCACTGCAGTATTCGAATTTGCGGTCTTATTAGTAGCACCTTTAATAATAATAACAGCACCCCTAAGTATATAATAATATCGTTCACAACCTGAGGTTTTGAAATAAGCTCCACGATCCATTCAGATTTCATATCCAGAACTTTTCTTCTACTACAACACTAAAGAACTGATTCTTCTTTTATATTTATATGGCCAACAAAAGGCATGTTGCATTAATATTTAGACCAATTAATCGATTATTTTAAAACTAAAAATCTAGTCCCGAATCCCCCTCATTTTCAACGATTAATACATTTTGTCCATTTGGACCAATGTTCGGAGTCGAATTAGGGTTCCCTTAGATTTTTTCCTTAAAATGAAAAATATAAGTGGTAACTCCTTTTCAATGAAATCAATCAGATTAAATAGGCTTTTACACCATGAACCCAACTCAATGTGAATGTTTCGATTCCATTTTTAGCAGATCGAAAAAGTCACTTGGATTAGGGCCTCATAGCTCTTTACCTTTAGCCTTGGAGCAAAACCTTCTAAAAAAATCTAAAATAAATACAGACTTAATGAAAATGAAATATAAATGTATGAATAACATGAATAAATGCATGAAACCCTATTTCTAGCCTAAATTTGAAAAATCACTAAGATTTTATATGAGAGAAAAAGAGGTAGAATAGGTTTTAGTGAGAGAAAGCTTACCAAAATGATGACAATCCGAGTTTAGATGAAGAATTACATGTCCTTAACTTAGGTGTTCATAGATTTTTGCTTGAGCTCACTTAAAAATGAAGTTGTAGCGTATGTTGTAAAGAAAATGAAAGAGAGAGACTGAGAGAGAAAGCCGGAAGGCTAGTATTTACATGAGGAAGAACTAGATGTTGTAAACTTGTTAGATTAGGCTTTAGATGATTTTAGGGTGGTTGGTAATTTTTCAAATGAATTGTGGTTATTAGAGTCTTAAAATCTCATCCAAATGCCCATATTGATTCATTAAATGGCAAAGTGGTAATTTGTCATTGTGTAGAGATAAAGTTGACTTGTCAACTAGTCTTACAAATGGAGGGTTAGGATTTGTTTAAGGTTCCTCTCATCCTAAGGCTAGAATTAGACATCACACTATATCTAACTATACATTATAAAAACTCTATATTTACACATGTCATGCCATTAATTAAATCTCCATATAATTAAAATTACTAAAATAATTTATGACATCACAACTCATCTATATGAGCATAAATCATATCTTAATAAATTAAATCTCTACACATGTGAAATTATTGAAATACTCCAAGGACATTATTTATCAATAAAATAATTAACCATGAGAAATTCATATATTAAATTTAATTAATTAATCAAGACTAGTCATATAAAGTATAATTAACTCCATAAATATTAATTATTATTAATATCCTTCTTGAGTCATATCATGTTCCTATCAAACAATATTATTCACGACACGGTAATAATAATGCCATTTTATGATCCAAATTTTGGGGCATTACAATATATAATGTATAAAGCAGTCAAATGAAAGAGGGAAAGGAGAGGAGTTGAGTGAGAATTACCTTGTAAGCTAGACTTGCTGGAAATGGTGTGAATCCCCGGAAAACAAATCTACTACAACACTCGAATCTTCAAACTTCGATTTTTGTTCAACAATGCAACAAGAGCTCAATCTAAAGTTATATTCATATTCCTCTCATTGAGTACTTGGGTTTAGAGTGCTCGATCATTGAAAATGATTGAGTTGACTGGAAAAATAAAAAAGAGAAAGGAGAGAGGGCTATCGGCGTCGAAGAGCAAGGAGATGAGAGAATTTAGATTTTCTCTGTCTTCTAACAATTGGCTATAAAATGGGTTCACTTCACTTAAAGGTTAGGTATGATCCGAATATGAATTAAGTGATTTTCTCTTGGTTTTGGTTTGAACTCGGTTTAAATGGTTTTCCAAATGGGTTTTCCGCTTGACTTTTTGTTCCAAATTATCAATAAATTATATATAATATTTTAAGATCTTTTTAATAAAAATTAAATTCTAAATTTTTTTGAAAGTTAAATTTGGGTTGCATATATATACTTCACTTAAGGTTTAGGGTTATGCATGCCGAGATATGAATTAAGTGTTTTCTGCTTTGGTTTTGGTTTGAAAACTCGGTTTAGAATGGTTTTCCGAAATGGGTTTTCCGCGTGTGACGTTTTGTGTTCCGAAATTGATCAATGTAAATTAGGTATAGTAAGTATGTATTAAGGATCTTTTAATAAAAAGTTAAATTCTTAAAATTTTTTTTTGAAAGTTTGAAAATTTGGGTTGGCGCAGTAGTATATATATATATATAATATATATATAGTAGATATATATATGTATACCAAGACCGTAAAGAGCTAAACAAAGAAATTCGGTTGATCTTTTAACAGAAAGACAAAGGAGATTCATTCTTTTTGAATGAGAACGGCTTGAAAACCAAAAATATGAATAGTTAGATGCGTTGTCCGTTTTGAAAGTTTGATTCTTAACAAAAGAGTATAAAGTCTTTTATAGCAACAAACTGAGTGCCATTAAATATATACCAGACCTAAAACTAAACAAAGAAATTCGTTGATCTTTTAACAAAACAAAGGAATTCATATCTTTTTGAATGAAACTAAAACCAAAAAATATAATATTAGATCTTTCCGTTTGAAGTTGATCTTAACAAAAGATATAAATCTTTATAGCAACAACTAGTCCATTAATTGATTTGGATGTCAAAATAATAACTCCTCTGGATCTTCTATAACTGGATTGTTTTTCCAATAATTTGCAATATGACGAATATAGATGAGTTTTCACTACTATACGTCAATAGCATCAATGGAGGAATAGACTGCACTACGAGGTTCCATTGATCAAAGATCCACATCTGTAAATCAAGATCTAAAGTCTCCAATCAAATAAAATAAAATATCATAGTTTTATTTAGTAACAAACCGTCACAAAGAAGGGACTACCCTCACAAAGAAAGGATAAAAAAACTCTAAATATGGAAACAACCAATAATAACAAAAAAAAAAAAAGACAAATGTATTATAGAACAAATAGATTTGAGCTTATTAAAGTAAAAGAAGATTAAAAGCCAAAGAAGGTGAAACCAAAAAGATATTGAAAAGTAGAGGGTAAGAGCTACCAACGATAAACATCAGCAACCTAAACTAAAATTAGAGTTAGAAAACCAGAGAGAAAAGAGAGAGCTATAAAAAGCTTGTGATTGCAGGTATATATACACACTTCTTTAAAATATACAATAGTTGTATTTTTATTCTCGTTTTCTCAATATTTAAAGTCTAATTACACTCTTAATTGGTGGTACCCACAATCAACATAAATAAGTTAAAGAAAGAATTTAAAACAAAATGAATATTAGAACTTTTATTTTAAAATGAACAATTATTATGATAAAAAAGGTGAGTTACGGAGAAGTTTATATGGTGGGGTATGTTGAGCAGTTGTTTTCAATCTTGGTTTTGATTTGTGGAAGGAGGGAGTTGGCTTAATGCCCGTTAGCGTTTGAGAGTAGAGGGCTTTTTTGGCTTTTGATTTTGGGTGATTGGTACTTATAACTTCCTTTTGTTTTCGCTTTTTAGAAAAAGAAAAAAGAAAAAAAAAATTCATTATCAATCGTAACAAAAACACAAAGAACATGAAATATTGGTAGGATGCTCTAGCTAAACTATAAACACATATATTAGCTTGTCTAGATAATTTTTTTATTATTATTATTATTTATTTATTTATTTATTCTGACTTTATATATTGACATATTGATTTATTTTTAAACTTATTATTCATATTTATTTATTCTTCTTTTTGCCAGTTGTGCGTTTGGTATAGTAGTTTGGTTCTCAGAAAGAGAGATCCTGGGTACTTTTCATACATTGACATCACCTTTTTTTTTTTTTCTCTCTCTTCTTTTACCACTTATGTTTGCATTCCGAATTGCTAGTTATGTGTTTGGTACAACTAATCAAATATATTGATTTTGGAATTTTAAAAATCAATTGTATATTTAAGAAGTGTTAGAGAATTTCTAGAATCTGAGTAATAAAATTTAAATATTTCATGAATTTGTTAATTTTTTTTATTTATTTGAGAAGAATAGGTTATAATTCATAGAATTAATAAATTTTACTGTGGTCTTAATTTCACTATTTTGGAAGAGAATGAAATCCCACATTTGAAATAAAATTTTTCAAATTTATTATTTTTTATTAACAATAGAATTTAAATCACTTAATTTTATTTTAAAAATACTTTTAAAATCCTAATATTGAAAAACCAAATAATTGAAGATGAAATTTTTATTTAGTTCATAATTCGTAAAATTTAAATTCACAAAATATATGCATTTCATATTTGCTCACTCTAATTGACTATATAATGAAATACACAATATGCAAATTTCAGTAAATTAATAAAATTATTTTAATTCAATATACATATATTTTTAGGCTTTTAACTCTGCAATTTAATCCTAAAAAAAAAAATCCCTCTGTAGTTTTAGTCTTGAAAGTATACAAACAAAACTTTACTATTAAGCAAATTTATATGCGTAAAATTTTAAATTTTGACAAGAAGTTTTTCTCTAATATATCAATTTATTTATGCGTAAGAATGTTAAATTTGTTGGACAAGAAGTTTTCTCTAAATATATAGTATTATATATATATGATATTATATATGTTGGTTCAAATCAATTGAGAGGACCGGTTAGTTAAATTCGGGCGTAGAAGATATATTTGGTTCAAATCAATTAGAGACGTTAAATTCGGCTAGAATGAATTCTAATTAGTAATTATAATGAATTCATGTATCTAGTGCGATATTATTTAAAATTAGTACAAAAAAAGTAAAATATTTAATATGTAGGATTAAGAAGAGAAGATGAGGTAATTAAAAGTAAAATATTTTAATTTTTTCTATTAGAAATTAGTTTTAATTATAATTAATTCTATAGAATTGAATGTTTAAATTTTTTTTAAACTAAACACATAAAAAATGAAATTCAATTCAATTCCTTCAAATTTTGTGGAGTTATTTGAACAAAATGTATTAAATTGTTAAATACTATGATTTCACAAATTGTATTCCATTAAAAGTACAATAAAAATTAAAAATAATATTTTAAGAGTAAAAATTAAATTAAATTAAGTATATATGATGTACATTGATAGGAGTGTATATTTATCAATTATTAAAACTTTGTGCACACTAAGGTATGGTCTAATAATAAGTATATATACCATGTTGTAATAGATTCAGATTCAAATCATTTCTACAAAAACACAATATCTAACCTTATTCTTATTTGCTTTTTTCTATCTTTTTTTTTTTTATTCACTGCGAGGTCCAAGAAATAATATTATAGGCTATAAATAAAGGGTAGCCTTTACTTTACTTACCAAATTAGTAAAAGCTCTTCTATTCAAGTAGTTTTTGAGATCTCTTATTGTTTATATGAGTGAGAAGACCAACGAAAATCTCTGATTGTCATTTATTTTTCTTCTTCAAATATCTATGAATTTATGTTATGAGATAATTTTATTTGTCCTCTCTCAACTTAGCATTAACGCCTTTATCATACCTATTACTACAACAAAAAAAAAAATAAATAAAGACTTCAATTCATATAATAAAACAAGTCTTACCGGATTTCCAATAAGTTTTCATATAAAGGCTGACACGGACAACCAGTTAAGAGGTAAAAAAAAAAAATTTACTCTCTCTGGCAACGGGCTAATATTAAGTATCCATTTAGAGAATTTCATTAGTATTAAGGAAATCATGCGAAATCATTAATAAAGCTAACATTTTAGTAAAATGCACTTTCAATAGGGAACAATTTAATGAGCTAAGTTGGCAAAAAGAGGTTGAAAAAAGATAAAAAGTTAATTGTATTGACTCATGACAATAAGGGTGTATTTAGAAATAGTTGTATAATGTTATTTTGATTTAGTCAAACGATAAATTAGAAGAAAAAAAATTGCTAAATGGACATCTAATATAGAATGGAGGAAGTATTTTTTTTTTAATACATGTAAATTAGCACATTCCTTTTCCTAAATTAATTTACAAAACTAAAAATTTAAATACATACATAACTAACAACAAATAAAAGGTAATATTAAAATTAACAAAAAAATCTAGTTGCCTCAACTTAATTTTAGTTTGGGGCTGTCACTTTTCCTTCGATCCAACTTCTACTCTTTCTTTTTTTCTTCTAATCTCTCATTCACTTTTAATAAACTCATATCTATTTTTCCTATAATAAATCTATTTATGTACTTGTTATTGTTGTTTTGTCCCCATATTTAGAGTTTTTTTTTTTTTATCATTTCTCCTTGAAGATTTGATCCTTTCTTTGTGAGAGTTTATTATTAAATAAAAGTATAATGTTTGATTTTATTTGGTTTAAGATCTTAGATCTTAATTTATAGATGTAGATTTTCGACCAATGGAGTCTAGTAATATGATCTATTTCTCTATCGATGCTATTAATACATAGTGACGAGAACTCATTTGTGTATGTCATATATTGCAAGTTCTTGGAAAAATAGTCTAAGTATAGAAGATCCATAAGAATTATTATTTTATTATCTAAATCAATTAAAGGACTAGCTACTACAATGACGATTTATATTTTTTGTCAAAGTCATCTTCAAGCGAAATGATCTAATATTATCTTTTTTATTTTTAATTTTATTATTCAAAAAAATATATACAATTCTTTTAATTTTTTAAAAGATCAGTGCACTCTAGCTTCTAATAATAAAATTTAATATCTGAATAGAGTGTTTATAATGTTTGATATTAATAATAATGAGTTATATTTTTTTTAAAAA